TCAATAGTACTGATCACTATCTGCATTATAAAGAGAGAGAGACAAAATAACAAACAAAATTAATAATAATGATGATTTTTTGAAAGAAACAATGCCACAAAGATGATTAATTTTTTTAATTATACGTTTTACAGAATAATTTTAAAAATTAGATAGTTTACGGTTTAGAGTCTACCGTAAATATTCTTACCCGTGTGTAATTTTTTCTTATTCTTTAATTTAAAAACGTTCAAAATGCCTGACTATCTTGGTAAAGATCAGAGAAGGACTAAAGAGGGAGAAGACGAGGAAGAAAAGCCAATTACAAGTGAGAGATGACCTTTACTTTATTTATTAATTTTGTTTTTAGGTCTTGACGAAGGAGACATTCAAATACTCAAGACTTATGTAAGATTTTATTTTAATTATTTTAATTAATTACAAACCACACCCACAATTTTCAAAAATAAAAGTAAAATTTTTTTGCGTTTTATGTCATCAGGGAACAGGTCCTTATGCAAAGCCAATAAAAAAGATAGAAGACGACATACAGGACCACATAAAGAAAGTGAATGAGTTAGCAGGGATAAAGGAGTCTGATACTGGACTGGCTGTACCTTCACTTTGGGATCTTCCTGCTGATAAACAAGCACTCCAGAGCGAAGAACCTTTACAAGTAATATAGCACAATATATCCTCAAATAAAAACCTGATAAAATAAAGTATTAATTAGAAGAAATATGAGGCTATTTATTATACATTAAGTATAGGAGATACCTCAAATATAAGTACTGTGTACAAATTAAAAATAAGAAATAGAAGTCCAGGCTTAGATTTAAGGATTTACAGTATTTGCAATCCTCTCCTACTCTTTCTTTGCTTGTGCAGGTGGCAAGATGTACTAAGATCATTGATGCTGATACTGATCACCCGAAATACGTGATTCATGTTAAGCAATTTGCTAAATTTGTCGTTAACTTGCACAAGAACTTAGCACCAACTGATATAGAGGAAGGGATGAGAGTTGGGTGAGGGACTGAATATATAGAAATTTTATAAAAATTAAACACAAATTTTTAATAATTTTTT